TAATCTCCAGTGTCAGCCGCTGCTTGTCTGAGTGAACACGCAATTAAAAAAGAAAACGTTGTAATAAATTTGGCGACAAAGATGAGGACAATAGTCCGAATAATGTAAATAGTGTACATAATACCTCATCTCAGAAATATAGACAGATACTGAAAGGCCGAAACGTTGTAATAAATATGGCGACAAAGATGAGGACAATAATCCGAATAATGTAAATAGTGTACATGGTACCTCAACTCAAATATATAGACAGATACTGAAAGGCCGAAACGTTGTAATAAATATGGCGACAAAGATGAGGACAATAGTCGGAATAATGTAAATAGTGTACATAATACCTCATTTCAGGAATATAGACAGATACTGAAAGGCCGAATCGTTGTAATAAATATGGCGACAAAGATGAGGACAATAGTCGGAATAATGTAAATAGTGTACATAATACCTCATTTCAGGAATATAGACAGATACTGAAAGGCCGAAACGTTGTAATAAATATGACGAGAAAGATGAGGACAATATTCCGAATAATGTAAATAGTGTACATAATACTTCATCTCAGAAATATAGACAAATACTGAAAGGCCGAAACGTTGTAATAATTATGGCGACAAGGATGAGGACAATAGTCCGAATAATGTAAATAGTGTACATGGTACCTCATCTCAAAAATATAGAAAGATAAAATAAATGACGAGGAAGTAGAAGAAGATGAAAAAGAAGGAAAAAAGAAGGGGAAAACTGTGAATCATGATCGCTATAATTCTGCTCCCTAAATCTAAATTACTACTACTACTACTACTAATAATAATAATAATAATAATAATAATAATAATAAGAAGAAGAAGAAGAAGAAGAAGAATGCATTTCATAACGGTTATATTGTGTTTGCTATAATTCATATCAACGTTACTTAGTGGATGTATTGCTCCCGAATTCATTAATAATAATAATAATAATAATAATAGTAATACGTAAAACGATATGTGCATAGAAATAGTATAAATAAGAAGAAAGAAATTGAGTTAATCAGAAGAGAAATACGAATACTGTATGCGAGTAGAATATCTGAAAATGTTAGCACAAGGAAAGCCAGGAAAGTTAAGACAAATAAACTAAAAAGACCTGTAAAGTCATAGAATCTTTTAAGGAAACATTAAAAGAAAAAAACTACTGTTAAAATCTCAAAGAATACGAAATTATCTAAAGAGTAGAAAATTCTTCAAGCAAAATTTTTCAGACAGTTGCAAAAAAAAATGTTACCATGAAATATAACAGCTGATTCAAAAGGAAACGGTTAAAAATGAAACGAAGAAATCTTTGATGAAAATCTAGCTGATAAATTTTCAAACACTACACTAAACGAGATTGAAGAACTCATATAAATGTATTCATTATCTTCTCCTGAATCAGTATATTTTAAAGTTTTAAGTTTCTTCGGAAGTAAAAATAATATTTCCAAATAAGATCTAAATGTTCTCGATGCTGTTAATAAGAATTGTAAAATGACCTTTTTCCCGCACAGCACATGTAGGAAGAAAAGGTTCGAGTGTGACACTCTTGATTAATGAATATATATTTTCCGCCATGTGTATAAATACCGGTGTCAGGCTACTGACTGTAGTGATTATTGAGCGACTCTTGAGTGGAACTATCCAGTCGAATTAGTGTGAATTATTGTGCGTCCATGATTTGGGTTTTGATTTAGGATTTACCGGGCGTTAAACCGAGCCGCGCTACTAATGAGGTATTCACTGAAATGGTTAATTATCTTTGGTTGACTTTTAGTTTTTTGTTCTTGCTAAGTATTTATTTGCTGTTGTAATTAAATACTGTTTTATTTTAACTTTGAAGACTTAGAAGTCTTGACTTATATTTAATTATTAACGGCCACCGTCCCTCAGAAAACAAACATTCAACTTCCATTGACCAAACAGAGTTGTTTTTGCTTTAAAATCATAATTTTTCTTTTATTTAAACAGGTTTTCAGAAAATTAGAATTCTCAAAGTCCAGATCGTTCGAATACTGACGTAAGATTGCTTCCTAACCTTTATTTTCTTGTTACGGAATCTTAAAATCTTGATTATATTATTATTTTCTTCTCTAGTTACATGTGCTATACATTCTTCTTTTTTTGTTGCAGCTGTTAAAAGTATTCAAGTGATGGGTTTTTCTTATTTGTTGATTATGTAGCGCCATTCAATAGGTTCTGGTGAAAGATTGTCTACTCTAAGATGTATTGGGTTAACCGCCTTTGAAGCTATTTAAATTATAGAATCGGAAAAAAAGGTTGTAAACTAATAATAGATTAGATATTTCTGAATAAGTTAAACATCATTCATCACATTCCTATGAAAATCTAGACCTTACGAGGTTAACTAAGAAAATTACACGAGTTTCAAGTAAATACTTTGGCTTTATAGCATCTTAAGCAGTTTGTCAGAAGTCTCGCTAGCGCAATTAATCCTGTTTTAAACATTGTTATTTTTCTATATTATTTTTAAAACTGATCCAAACACCAAGTCAGTTCAAATGTCTAGGTTTTATCAATTCATTTTTATAGATGTCATAATTACTCCCAGTGCAATTAAAGCTCATGATTTCTGTTTTGGACATGTGATTGTTATATTGACAAACGGACTTGCCAAAATTCTTCAATTATTATTTTCAATGACTTCAATTTTATGTATTTCTATCATTATTAGATAGATGTGAGGAGGCGCGATGAAATAATGGATAGCGGCTCGGATTGAGGAATCGGAGATCCGAGTTCGAATTCTACTTGGTTCCATTACATTCACTTACGTGCTAATACTCTTGGGAAAGGTATGGGCAAATAGCAGGACAACCGGTCTAAGAGAAGGAAAAACTCTGAATTCAAATCTGGCCTAGAGAGAGTTTGACGTCGTCAGGCTATCTTGCCCAAGAAACACCACTTCTACTGGGACTGCAAGTACAAGTCAAGGGGAAAAAATTCAATATTTATCAAATTTCTTCTCTAATCTACTTCATTAGACTCAGAACTACAGCAGTATTTCTTTTTCGGCCTTATTATTAATCCAAGATTGAAAATGTAATACCGACTTTAACCACTCAGGAGTTACTCCCCTTTAATCGAGGACTCGCAAGAATGAAATTTTTTCAAGACGAAGGATTCGCTAGCGCGATAAACAATTCACAAAGACTGATACGACGTAACTGTCTTGTTCTTTCTTTTTTACTAGGGTAAAACAACTTTCGTATCTCCGACATAAGCTTCCTTTTCTGTTCTTATATTCTTGACTTACTTTCGAATCTACTTCTAATAAATTAATCGTGAGTCATCTCCCTTGTTTTAGGATTACTTCCCTGTGGAGAACACTTTCGTTTGTAGAGTGTAGGGAACAAAACATGATCCAGATTTAAAATTCAAGTGCTAAGCACTGACACATTGATTTTGTTAGAAATTAAAAAAACTCGAATTTACAAACTTTGCTTAACACGCACGCAAAAGCGAATCCAAAACAAAACTCGTGAAATTTCACACCTTGATACGAAATGTTTTTCGGCCAATAGAACACTTAAAAACAAAATTCAAATAATCTTCAATTCTCAGAAACAAAAATTCTTTTACGGATCTTTTCGCGAGCCGACGCGAAGTTTGTTCGTCGTCCAATGGAAAGGCCCGAATCATATCCGGGAGTGAATTCCCAAATGACTTTTTCAAGCCCCACAAACAAAATAAAAGACGGACAAGTTCGCCAGAGAGGAGGAGAGGAGCGTATTAACACGTCCCTTGACAAACGTCAAGCGATCGTTATTATTGTCTCTACCTTTCTCCGTCACCTCTTTTATACTTGATAAACGAACAAAATATTTTAAGACTGAGCGATTACTTCAAAGGCATTCCTACGCTACGATAACGCTGATACATACATACATACATACATCCACACATACGTTCCTGCCCACGTACACATAAACTCATTCTTGCAAGGACTACTAAGAAAATATTGTATCAACCAAAATACATTAATTTTATTTGTAGAGACCTTAATTGATTTATATGTATATAAATTTGTTGTTTCACTTTACAATTTGATTTTCTTGTTTTATACCCCTCTTATGGTGGGCTATCTAACTAACAAGGTCAAATCAAACTAAACTGTTTCAACACTCATACACTTCACTATAATTGATAACCCATTATACGAGAACTATAAATAATAATTACACTTATATCAATTATTCTAAACAGAATAAATTGTAATAACAAAAGTGAGCATAATAAAGCTTTCTTAGGCCTTTGCTTGTTCTCTTTTGTTATTAAACTACTTATTTCCATTTTCAAAACGTGTTCCTTTTTCATAATTTTAATCAATTGCTTCTTTTTGTTGTCTATTTAATCCAAGAAGCCAAATCTTTGCATTCTCGACCTCGTAAATTACATAATACTATTATTAGCAACACCCGTGAAGATTTGATATATTTACTATTTGAATTTACGGATAAAAGTTAATTCTTAACTCAATGATTGAATTAATTCCTTGCTAATTCCACAAATGTAAAATCTGCGTGAAATTTGCCGTATTGCATCATTAAATATTAGAGCTTAACAAATTTAACAAAATAATCACAGTCATAAATATGAATATAATTCATTATGTAAATTATTCGTGTACAAATTAAAAGATTCGAACCTGAAACAGACGTTAAAGGCATGAGAGCATTATCGCCTCTCCTGTCTTCCCAGATATATTTTGCAAAACATTATCAAAAACTAATATAAAATATATACGTACTTCCATCAGTTGAAATCTTGCAAAAACTGGACAAAAAAAAATGCCAGTGAATCATTCAGACCTATTCTGGAACAATCGATAAACTGGAATGTGTTGGGAAAAGCGGATTAAATAAAAAGCCTACATAAACTGACAGCTGAGTTCAAAAGATCGATGTATAGAGAACTGAATTATACTTTTAAGGATATTTTAAAAAGAAGAAAGACTGTGAACTACATCTAGTCTTTCAGAAGAGCTCGGAAAGAGAATATTTCAAAACAGTCGACTAAAACGAGCTGCAAGTCTGACATGCGAAGAAAAAGTTGCTGCTTGACCAGAAAAAAAAAGTGTGTTAATCTGAGAAAAGTGAAGATTTACAGAGTGAAATTTTTTTAAAAAAACATTAGATACATCGAAAAATCTTCAATTAATATTAAAATATTTAGTAGTCAGGAAGAATAAGTATTTTAAATGTTAGTATTCGACCACAATAAGCTTTTAAAATATCGTACTCAAATTACGAATTTGTATATGTTTATTGTTTGAATCTTACATTTTAGCATCATAAAGCGAGTTACTATTTTCACAGCTCTTGAACAAATCTTTCTGCTCAAATAAACACTCTTTACAGCGAAAGTTAATTAATTTGTTTGTTTAACGGTATATCAACACCTTATTGGTCATTTAATGTCGAAATTTAATTTTCATGTGAGCCTTGCTGCCGGACGTAGTTTATCGTCACACCCAGGTCGATACAATGGAAGTATGCAAAGGAATTTCACGTCAATCCTTGCAGATATCCTCCAGCAGCAAAAGACAATGCTACTCCGGTCAGATAAAAACAAGAAACTGAGTCTACAATTCGCGACAGATTACAAAAAATGGTACAATGGAAGATTTGAAAAAGATTTCCTAGTCTGATGAGCCTTGAGTTTTGCTGCGGTGTTTGGACGCTAGTGCCAGAAATCGACATTAAAAATTATGTATCCATGCTGTCTTGTATCAATAGACAAGGTAGTGGCGGTAATAGTTTTTAGATGAAGCAGCCGACCAAGGTTTTGTAGCTGATGTCTTCCTCTTTTATGAGCCGTGTCTGTTCAGGGCGTTTGCGATCATTGCTTTCCAAAATTTCATCTCCTTTCTAGCACTTAGTAAATTATGACTATTTGTTTTCACTCTCAACCCCTGTTCTGCCATCCATTTACACAAGCTTGTTATGTAGATTATGCTCTGTCATGTGTATCTTAATTCTCCCCATTATCGCAAAAGTGTCGAAAATGTTCCACTATTTCTTTCAATTTGATATATGTTGGATACTCCCGGATTTACTAGATCAGTAAAACTGAGACTATATTTAAGGGCAAAACAATCCGCCATTTTCCACTTGGAAGACACTGAGATGGTTTTCATTATATATCAATATATATATATATATATATATATATATATATATATATATATATATATATATATATATATATATCAAATATATATATAGTCTCTGTCTCTTATATCTATATATATACATAAATATATATATATATATATAAATATATATAATATATATATATATATATATATATATATATATATATATATAATATAATATAATATAATATAATATAAAAGGCTCAAACACTAATATTCCATGGTTATAATTTATTACATTGGAATCGTAATTACGATCCAATTCATCAGAATGACAAATTCAAATGAAAGATATATATATATATATATATATATATATATATATATATATATATATAATATATTAATAATTATAATCTGTCCTGCGAGTGTCAAATTTCCCAAGCCCTCTTTCCTCAAAATATGCCCAAGAAATTTTAACTTTCTCTTTTTGATTTATAAATTTTCTTTTTGTTACTATTTTCTCTAAATCTTCGTTGTTGCTCACATTTTTGGTCCATAATATTCTCAGCATCCTTCTGTAGAACTACATTTCTGTTACTTCAAGTCTCTTCTTCATCTGTGAGGAGATTGTCCAGTATTCATATAGAAAGACATATTATATCACAGTTCAGTACTGTTTTCTTCGTTCGAACGAAATGTTCCTGTTTTTTAAGACTTTGCCTACGTACCTCAATTTATGTCTGTGGTGCAAGCTTCCTCTTGTGACTAAGTCTAGCTTGATTGTACTTGAGATTAGAAAAAATAATAGTAGGTTGATTTATGGAATACAGGAATTGGTTTTCTGTGATAAAGTGATCTCCTAAAACAACAGGAGCTCGCTCTCAATGAACACCTTTGTGGCGTGCTGGATAGAGAAATCCAAATCCTGGTTGGGTAGACAAACACAATAGAAAAATTATGGGATGCTATTAAAAGAGCATGGAAGATAATTTCGAAAGAGTTTTTTCCAGGAAATTTCTAGTATGAAGAATTGGTACATTTCTAAAGGCAGACAAAATCAGGTGCTACCTGGAACTATAAGACCATAACTAAATTGCATTCAACGCTTGACAAATATATCCCGCTTCCCCTCTCTCTCTTTTCATCTCTTTCTCGCTCTCTCTCTCTCCATCTGCTTTTCTATTCGTTTCCTTCTGTATCTAGATTTCATCCTCCTCCCTCCCTCTTCCTCTCTCATTTAGGTTATTTATTTGATATATATCTCCATTTGAATTGAATTTTTCCCATCTATTTTTTCTCTCTCCTCTTTATTATGTAAAATCTCCTCGTCTTCTCATTCTCTTCATCATGTTCCATCTCCCAAATCTCTTCTTCTGTTTGCTGAATCGTTAAATCGATTCTACGAAATTTTTCATCTCTTGATATCTCCCTAACTCTCCCTTTCTTAAACATTCTTCCGTCAAAAGACAACCCTAATACTCTGTCCATCTTTCTCAAGATCTCTTTTTAAATCTCTATTTCTCTCTGCTCCTTCTGTTTCTCTTTATTGTTTTTTCCTAATTATTTCTCTTCCCTCTCTCCTAAAATTCTCTTCCTTTCCTTAAGGGAATACAATTCACCCATATTTGTATCCTAAATTGATACTACAAAATTGTTATAATGATGAAAGCATCTCAGTGCTAAAAAGAATGTAAAGAAAATTTAATCATCGCTATTTCTTTAACGTCTAAAAAACCGGAAATATATTTACAATTTAATATACATTGCTAATAGTCTAGGAAAATACCCTGATGCAAGATTAATAGTCAAAAATTTTCCTACGGGAACACAATAAATTTTTATAAATAAAAACGAATAAAATTGATTATTAAACTTAAGAATCGCCAGAAATGGAAAAGAAAGAAACTTGTAAAGAATTATTACCTCGAGGTAATAGTGTTATTTATATACCAACATATATATATATATATATATATATATATATATATATATATATATATATATATATATATATATATTTATTTAGAAGATTTTGGCGTTGCCTGTGCTTGATTCAAAAATGTTACGACTCAACATTCAAAATTTATGACTTCATAATCTGAATTTTTTGCCCTTCCTTTAATTTAAAGCAGTGCCCTTTTGCCGTGCTGATGTTGCTGAATTTTAAATATAGAAAACTTTTTTTTTATCTCACATTGCGAAGTTTTTAAAGCTCTATACTAAACATTTAAATCTTTTACGAAAAAGAATAAAAAAAATGAACACAAAACGATCAGCTTCATATTTTCAAAAAGGAATCGTAGCAGAAAAACCGAATGAAAAAAGAATGTTAACAACGTTTTTACGTTTTCACACCCAACCCGGTTCTGCGGAATCAGAATCAACGTTGAGTTTGTTTAAAGCGAATGAATTTTTTTTGGAGTAAAGTGCCATGCAGATTTAAATTTTTCCTATTAGTTTTCTATTGACGAATGCATTTATCGATCTTTTTTTTTGCAGGTCTTTGAGAAATTTTAATTCTTATTGGCCAATTAGAATCTTCCTTGTTATAAATGGCAGCCAGCTATATGGTTCTCATTCGGCCAGTACAAAATGGCCGCAAACTACATGAAAACTGCCGCTTCTGAAAAATCGATTAAATCCCCTATCAATTGGGAGTTGGGAAATGCAATAATCTTGGCCTTAAACTAATTTTGGAGAAAATGCATGAAAATTTTTATGCAAATCCGTCGAAAATTAACGACCGTGCATTCTTTACACACACACACACACACAGATCCTTATATATATATATATATATATATATATATATATATATATATATATATATATATATATATATATATATATATATATACACTGTGTGCCAAATTATTATCGAGATAACTTTTTTTCTAATATTTCAAAAACCGTCCAATCAATTCACACAAAATTTTCACACAATGTTGGCAACACTGACCTGCGCAATCACTGAAATTTTAGTACTGATCTGCGCAATGTAAACAAACTGGCGCCATATTTGTTATCAGCACGGTGATTTGAGCGTGCCAAATTATTAGAAAAGTGTAAGAATTTAGTGAAAAGATGGGCCGTAAAAGCATTTTAAGTGATGCTGAAAAGAAAACTATCACCTCAGAACTCTCAAAAGATAAATCTACCCTAGAAATTTCTAAAATGATAGGGAGGTGTCATCAAACAGTGAAAAAGTTCACCGCCGACCCTACACAAGTACGCAAAAGGGCAGATAAAGGCAAGCCGAGGGTTATTTCACGTCGTCTCATGTCATGACTTAAACGAGAGGCCATGAAGAACCCTGGACTTACCAGCCAAGAGCTTTTCAGTCGCATTGGGGATCCTACTGTGTCTAAAAATACTTGGTGTCGGTATCTGAGAGAAATAGCAACAACAGTCAAACCTGTATCGAAGCCTCCGTTGACGAGAAATCACACTCAAAATGGATTGAAATGGGCCGAGGACAATATGAAGATTGACTTCTCTAAAGTTTTGTTCACAGTCGAAACTCGAGCAACACTTGATGGGCCAGATAGATGGTGCAAAGGCTGGGTAATGAACGGACAGAATCACCATCAGCGTTTGAGACGCCAACAAGGCGGTGGAGGCATAATGATCTGGGGTGGTATTATTGGAAAAACATTAGTGGGCCCATGGAGAGTACGAGATGGCGTCAAAATGACTGCTGATGCATACATAGCGTTTATGAAAGAGCATCTTGAACCGTGGATGAAAAGGCAAAGTTGCCTACAGAAGGGCCATTGTTTTATGCAAAATAATGCTCCCTCACATGCTGCTCACAAGACTACTGAATATTTGAAACAGTTAGGCTTCGATGGACCTCGAAAAAGTATCCCGCAAATGCTCCGGATTTGAACTCAATCGAAAACCTTTGGAGCATCATGAAGCGAAGACTGTACGCCAACGGACGACAATTCAGGAGCAACGCTGAGTTGAGGGAAGCAATTCTTGACATATCTCGCGGCATTACGGCAGATGACATCCTACAATTAACAAATTCTATGGATCATCGACTTCTTCAAGTAATTTCAAAACAGGGAAAGCACATTCCCTATTAATTTGTTTAAAACTGTGCCTTTGTTTGTATCTGTTATTATTTGTTTGATTATCTTATTTTATTAGCTTCTTTTGATCATAAACATTCACGTGCAACATTAATAAACGTTTTGTTTGATCAATTCTGTGAATTTTACTAAACCTTTCTAATAATTTGGCACGCTCAAATTACCATGTTGATAACAAATATGGTGCCAGTTTGTTTACATTGCGCAGATCGGTACGAAAGTGATTGCACAGATCAATGTTGCCAACATTGTGTAAACATTTTGTGTGAATTGATTGGACGGTTTTTGAAATATTAGAAAAAAAGTTATTTCGATAATAATTTGGTACGCAGTGTATATATATGAAGAATTATAGTTTTAAGGTATGCTATATTTATGGGATAAAGTGCTCAAGATTAGAGATAGAGCGTGTGTAAATATCAATACAAAAGTGAACATTGAAGTCAACACTCAGAGGCGACAGGCTGTTTCATGCTGGACGCAATCGTCAGGCGGCCTGATAATTGCGTTCAGCATGAAAAAGCCTATCGCCTTTGATATGAATCAATGTTCACTTTCAATATATATATATATATATATATATATATATATATATATATATATAGATATAGATATATAGAGGATATATAGGGAAAGAGAAGATAATGAACAAACTGAGATAGATAGATAGATAGATAGATAGATAGATAGATAGATAGATAGATAGATAGATAGATAATTTAATATTCAGGAATATTCGACATGAACTAGAAAATACAAACTAATATAAATTTCCTTTGATATTTCATAAGAATGCAAATATACAATTGTTTAGCTATTGGAGCAATAATAAACATTATATATCTACGATGTGACTTTCGGATTCATATCAAAACTGTACCTCTCTAAATGCATAAATACATACTTCATATTTGAAATAGACGTCCCATTTTTATTTATTAAACTGTGTGAATTACGTCTATCGGCCTTTACTTTAGAGAAATCTTAGTAAAAAAATGGGTTCTCCGATATGTAACACACACCCATAAACACCAACTCCCACACACTTATATATATATATATATATATGTGTGTGTGTGTGTATGTGTCTGTGTGTTTATGTATAGTTTAAAAGCCCTGCAACTATGTGCAAAAAGTCATTAATATCACATAGAAAGTTTTTGTAGACGAAGACAGTGTGAAAATGCTATTAATATTGAATGTTTAGATACACGGCTCAGCCGATCTTCAAACCATTTAGATAGATAGATAGATAGATAGATAGATAGATAGATAGATAGATAGATAGATAGATAATGAACAGATTAGATAATGAACAGACAACAGACAGATAGATAGATAGATAGATAGATAGATAGATAGATATGAACGGACTGATAGATAGATAGATAGATAGATAGATAGATAGATAGATAGATAGATAGATAGATAGATGAATAGATAGATAGATAGATAGATAGATAGATAGATAGATAGATAGATAGATAGATAGATAGATAGATAGATTTATTTGAACAAACTGAGATAGATATTCTCATTTTTATTAAGGCTTATTATCGACAACGTACATTTCACAGTTGCATCCTTAGTTTGTCGCGCAGCTCGTTAGCGAAACGAATACTTGCAAAAGCGGGTTTGTCTTGACCAGACACAGACTGCATTTAAAACGAACGTATTATATTGTGAAAGTCTCAACAACAACTGAGATCCTAAAACTCGGTTTAAACTGAACATTCTGTTACTGATATTTATTCGTCGAGATAACAACATTTCTTTCAATTGCCTCGGGTAAGGAGATGATCTGCTCACTGACTGAAATAGCTGAGCCTTTGGAATTGCAATTTTTCTTAAGCTTTCTTTTTATTTATTTTTTTCTGTACCTTGATTCAGTGAAGGAATTTGTTTCAGATCTGCTTTTGTTTCGCGTTCCTGGTGGTAAATGCACAGGCGATGATGGTCCTTTTCAAGCTGCCATCATATATCGCTTCAGAAGCAGCACACATCTCTAAAGGCATTTCCCAGTATAGAAATGGAATATCTTTGAAAAAGATATTACCTTTCCTCCTCTACAGGGGGGTTATTCCAATACAGGAAGTGTATCTTTGAAAAATCTCTACATATAAAACAGTGGATGTCTGTGTGATACCTTTTCATTCGAGACCCATCAAATTGATTTTGACCAAACTTGTCACATACATTGTACCATTGTACAATGTAAAAGATAGGTTCTTATCGTAAAAATTGATAATTTAAAAAAAATCAATAATCGGTAAAATCTATTAAAAATTGATAAATTCGGCTTTTAGACTTGGTATATAGGTTACTTACATCATGACGAGCTCAACGATACGTCATTTTTATTTCTACGTTTAGCAAAAAACCGCGAAAAAACGAAAAATCGATTTCAATACAAATCAATGTCAACATAAATTTTAAACTAAAAACTCAAGTTTTCAAACAATCTAATACAATCCTCACTCACTTGTAACCAACAATAAGTTGATTGTTTAGCAGTCATTTAACTTGATAACTAAGTCCACTCATATAATGAAATCCCGTGTAAATAGCAAAAAATAGTGATTTTTACTGATTACTTTCTTATTTTTCTTTATTTTTGTTAGTCAAACTTAATAAATATATCCTCTTTTACAACCGAACGTCTAGCCACACTGATGAACTATGATACGGCGAAACAGTTTTTCTGTGAATGACAATAACTGTAATATCTCCGTATATATACATAAAACAGAGGATATCTGTCTGTGTGATAGCTTTTCGCTCGAGATCCATCCAACCGATTTTGACCAAACTTCACATGTACATTGTAGCGTGAAAAGATCGATAATTTTAAAAATATCATTAATCGATAAAGCCGATCAAAAATCGATAAATCAATTTTTTTCATCTGATTTTGTTCAAACACGGTATGTAGGTTACTTACATCATGACGAGCTCAACGATACATTTTTATTTCTAGGCCACTGCGTTTAGTGAAAAACCGCGAAAAACTAAAAATCGATTTCAACACAAATTTTAAACTAAAAACACCCTCAATTTTCAAGAAATCTAATACAAACTTCACTCAATTGTAGCTAACAATAAGTTGATTCATTTAACTTCATAACTGAGTCCTAAAATAACGAAAAATGGCCATTTTTACTGGTTTCTTATTTTTCGTTGATCTTTCAACCAATTATCATCAAATTAACAATTGCTTGTATTCTCTTTTACAACCTTGGCAAATTGAATTTCAAAAACTCCATCATAATTGTGGTCTGAAGTATGTCTTCATGTTGCCTGTTTTACCCCTTCATGTCCTCGGCTAACTCCGATTGAATTAAATCCTCAATTATGGTGTTCTCACACAATAATTCCCTTTTTGATGAGACATCTAAAAAGGTTTTCCTTTTTTTGACGTTGAAACAAAATTGAAATTTTGAAGTTGATATGTGCATGTTCTAATGTAACACTGCATAAGATAAAAAATATATATATATATATATATATATATATATATATATATATATATATAAATTATAAATTGATTTATTTAAAATATGTTTTTTTCCGCTACACAGTTCTAACCATGTTTCAAAAATGGAAGCTAAAAGCTACGAATTTAATTTTGTAATTAAATTAAAGACATTAGTTCCATTTCATCCTCAAGCGAATTTTGGAGTAAATTTTTAAAATTACTGGGTTTTAAAGACACAGCTAAAATCATAATTCACGTTTCCATGGTTACAGATAAATCCACTTCAACTAGAAAAGGGGTGTCTGCGTGTCATTATGTCTGTATTTTGATGTATATCCGTTATTTTGGTAACGTTATATATATATATATTTATATATAAAAAATTATTTGAATTAAATCTTTGTCGTCTGGATTTGAAGAAAATGTTATTGTTATTTTATAAAAATTCTTATCAAGGATTAGACACGGTCAAGTATATTTTAGTAAATTTTTGAGAAATTTAGAATACGTTTGATTTCGAATCCATTACATATTTATTTACGTGCTAATATATTTTTAATTTTATATATCTATATTCCTTTTAAGAACAATTAAATGTAGATTAGTTATCAGTTACAGTATGTAGAATTAAGAACACATGTATAAGTAGTAAATTAAGACGTTAGTCAAATTATATTTAAATATTATTTAAAGAATGTTCAATACCAATGTTAAGGCGGTAAAAACTTGCTAGAGGGAAATTAACACTGATTTATGATAAACTTTTATTTTTAGCATAAACCTAGGAAATATATTGTTTCTCATGAATGAAATAAAGGGTTCATTGGACATTCAAACCACCTGAAGAAGTCCGAAACAATATTACATAAAATTGGCGACAAAGATGACGACAATAGTTTGAATAATTCTTTTAAATAGTGTCTCAGTATATCCTTGTGTTAGAAATTTTTATTTAATTGCCAATATTTAAAAAAGAGGTTAATTTTTTTTTTCTTCTATCATTTTAAACAAACTTTAAAATATTTTCATTGTTAGTTTTAATATATATTTTCTTTAGATAGAGTAAAAATATGGAAAAACTTACAGTAAGTAAAATTATTTTTATATTTCTACTTATATTGATATTGAAATTTTTAAAATTTTATACACTGTCGGATATTTGATAAATAAAATTTAGAGGCATTTAATAAAAATCATTTTCATTTCTTCTGATTTAGTAAACTTTATTTGACATTTATTTTTATATATAAAACTTAGTAATATATCGTTTTCACATGTATGTACAAAAGAACATGGGTTATTCAATCCTACATCTTCGCAGACATTTTAAGATCATAATTTCAGTTTTTAGTAGGTGTTCAACAGATTTTTACAACGCCAGTAGCACTTCTAAATCCTCGTTTACAATGATTTGTGACTTTATTTAACTCATTTTAAACCGATGTTTTCCAAACAATTTGTTTTAACTAAATTTAAACACAACGTTTTCAGAAAATATTTTCACTGTTATTTTAATAAACAAATTTTTTTTTAAAGAAAAACAAGTACACTAGATTCACTTATGTATAAAAATCATTTTTCATGATAAATCGGGTATGTATATTAAATTAGAACCCACTTTTTCTCATTATTTTTATTTTTAAATGTGATTTAATAACCATTTTAACAAGGGCATAAAATAGCTATTCATTAGATTTTTGAAACCTCACTAATTCCTCCATACCAAAATAATATATATATATATATATATAATATATATATATATATATATATATATATATATATATATATATATGTAAATATGTGTATATTATATATTGTGCTGTGTGTGTGTGTGTGTGTGTGTGTGTGTCCAAAATGTGTTTAGGCAGCAATCCTTCTTTCATGCATATTAATTGAATACGACAGAAAATTAATTTTTTATTTAGCTTTTTTTATACAATTTCTCATGTGATCTAAAATTTTTTTTCTTTTCGGATGATAAATTATATAAAAATTGTCCGAATATTTTTTTTATCCGAGCGCTTTAGAAAAAATACATTTAGCCATTTTCAAGGATTAAATATTTTTTTAACTGTTAAATAAGAAATAGTTTGTTGTATGTATGTTTTATAAAATGTTTTTTTTTTTTCAAAAAACACGGTCAAGATATTATGTCCATGTTCAAAGTTATTTTATTAAGTGTTGTTTTTTTTGTTTTTATTAATTAAGGCTTCCATTATTTTTAGACTTTTTTTTTTTTGCATGTAGATGATGCTATTATATTATATATAAATCCAAATTGTTTTTTCCCTTGATTGTCGTATTCAAAAAATTAATTTAAATATATATATACATAAAAATATATATATTATATATATATATATATATATATATATATATATATATATATATATATCCACTACAAAATGTGGATGTGTGCATGTGTGTGTGTGTGTGTATTAATATATATAAATCAAATAACTAGGCATTAGCAACATATATATATACGTCCGTTAGCGTGCATACACAGGTAAGCGGATAAATAATATATATATAATTTAATTAAATATGAATTAAGGTAGTGCTACATCAATGTGTTTAGACAGAGCTAAGAAATATATATAATAATAAATATGCATATAACAACATTCAATGCAACTTAAATGTTTCATTGTTCTACCAACTGATCAATAACGAATTTAAAAAAAAAAAATATATATATATATATATATATATATATATATATATATATATATATATATTTAAATTAAAAAGTAATAATTGTATCTGATGAGTTGGTAGAACAAGGAAAATTTTAAGTCGCACTTGAGCTTTCAAACACACACACACACACACAATATATATATATATATATATATATATATATATATATATATATATATATATATAATAAGTATGTATGTAAAACAGTCAGTCTGGTAAGGAAAACATTCACGACATCTTCAAAGAATTTTCTTATCTGAAAATCTAAATGAGAATTGGCGTATGTATTCTTTGATCAATTGTCTTTAGTATATGCTCAAGGCAGCGATAAGTTACGAATTTCTTCTCTTTTGAAAGCAAGCATTAGTCAGCACGAAGTATAAGTTCCTTTGTACTGAATCGATTTAATAATATCTCAAACGTATTATTTTAATTAATTTTGTTAAACATGAAAAAAAATTTTTAAGATTTAAGCTCTGGAGATTCATGATTGCAAATGTACCGAAACGATAGAATTGTTATAGACAGAGCAAAAAAAAAATAGAGAAGCGAGAAGTTCTGTATATCTTCAGTTGCAATATTTCTAGGGCATATAATAAGGAAAGAAGGCTTGGAAAATCTAATACACACATGACAGATTGAAGTCAAGAGAGACAAAGGAAAACAACGTATAACCTACTTTGTGGGCTTGAGTAAATGGATGACAGAAGATGTATTAGGAGAAATACCAAAAAGAAAATATTATTTAGATACACAGGGAGCAGAAAGTTGTGGAGAGACATATACGTCCTGTTCTTTTTTGTTTAGATATTGGTTCATGAAAAGCATCAACTCACGCAAAACTGTAAATAAATATCAGGAGATATCTTCATGAAAAGCCGTCGAAGCAGTAAATAAATTATTTGAGTTGTAAAATATTCATTTGCCGTCTCATTTCGAAACGTCGATGTCTGGTGCATTTTCTTCGTATACAGATGCCATATCCCGAGGAAATATTCGCTTATTATTCAAATAGAAAAATGACAAGTTCATTTCTCCTGTTTCTCATTAAATATTTTAGGCTGGCCTCTGGAGCTGCAAAATCTTCACCTTCCATCCCTGACAGAGATCAAAATCTTTTACACGCCATTGTGGAGAATGACTTATTTTTCACGCTACAACGACGCAACCTTACACTATTCTATCCCTACTTGGCAAATGTTCAGAAGAGCTCCATTCTCTAGTGCGTCGACTTCCGGCCACATCACGTTAAATCACCAGGTGTTTAGAAAAAAATCACCGAATTTTAACCATAAACGTCAAGACTCATTTAGCATCTTGATGGGTTAACCGCTTGACTAAAATACCATATCCAAAATGTTACTTTAGAGATGCGAGTGGTGTAATTAATAATGGCTAATCTTAATTGTTAATTGACCTGAGTTCCAATTCATGTTGGGTTCGTTATATTCTCTTACGGACCAAATACGCTTGAATTGACATTTAAAAATCGCAGCTATGGGTTAATTCAAGATATATCACTAAAATTATTATTATCTCGTCCTAAAAAATGAGTTTTTATTAAATATTTAGATTTCAGCATTGGCATTTACAAGAAATAATTAAAATAGTTTTTTTGATAAATTGCTAAAAAATTCAAAAAAACATTTATTAATTTGTTAATTTTAAATTTCAAATTGTTTTCACATAACAAATATTGTCTCCAAACAGTTTCTTCCATTTTTTCATTACTTCCACTTGAGATTCATAAGTAGATACATTAACTGAACATAATTATTAAACTTTTAAAATTAGAACTTTCAATACTTATCTATCCGTTATGGTTCGTCATTAAATTTCCTCTTTTTATGTTCTACACTTAATTCAGTAAAACGACATTTTCGGATAAAAAAATTCAAACTTCTGGAAATCTGTTCTATATTTCTAAAGATGAGGCAAGGATATCTATTTACATTAATTAATCGTTCGGATGATTTCATCTTTATTGAAATTTTCAAGGCGTTTTTTTTTGTAATCCAGTAAATTTTTTCAGGATATAAACATTATATTTGTGGATATTCATGTTATAAAATAAAATAAGACATATCTCGGCTGATTTACAGGCAAATACTCAAGAGCGAGAACCGGATGTGAACGGGACAAAGCCCCGTCACAAAATGACCATTATCTTTCTTTACAAATGTTCCCGACACACGTGTTCCGGTAAAAAAAATAAAATAATATTTAAAGTGTTCTATTTTTCGTCCAATAAAAATGCTTCCCTCCTAATTATACTCGCTTCGTTTTTCGAGCCTGTTAAGCCATAAAAAACGCTATAAAAGGGGTCACACGGAAGTTCAACAGGCAGTCAACAGGTGCCCAGAGTAGAGAGACCTGTCACTGTCAGCAGCTGTCAGCAGGAGAGCATCAACCACCGTCAACATGTGTGAACTACTATGAGAGATCGACCAGATCCGAAAACCGGCTTATGAACTTTACCACAAGGTAGCTGTCCCAAACCCACACGTTCTTGCTGAAATAAATCACGTAAATCTTTTTCTGCTGTTGTCGTATTTCTTTTTTGCAACCATACGCTTGTCTATAACAAAGCACTGTAACTATTTGCATTATTTACAGGGTTCGGATTGTTGTCCCCATAATTATTGTGATATTGTGCGCTCCGGACTTCTTCAGAAACTATCTATATTTCTGCGACAAGGTGTTGCAAGTATTTACACTGTTAACATCGTTCGGATTGTTGTCAACATTTTTATTGCCATATGATGAATAACAATAAAGATGATTTTTTTTAGTCGAACAATCTAAATATTCGAGAAAATCTTGTTAAAAAAACTTTGCGTCCTACGCACTATTTTTCTAACAAGATTCTCAGATGTTCAGGCCTGTATAAATAAATATACTACTTAATAAATGAATAAAAAAAAAAGATAAATAAAAACAGAACATCTACTCAAATATGAGCATCAATTCAAAAAAATTTTTTAAAAAAAAATATATATATATATATATATATATATATATATATATATATAAAAGAAGAAAACCCGTTTTTGGTTCATTAATGTGGATTTTAAAAAATATTATGCTTTATTTTTTTATATTGAAGCAAAAAATTATGGAAAATAAAGCATAATATTGTTTAAAAAAATCCACATTACAACCAAAAACGTGGTTATATCTTGAACTTTTAATATACAACTTTTCTCTCATTGAAACTACTATAACCTCTTCTAAATATATATATATATATATATATATATATATATATATGAACGTTTCATTGAACTCATATTTTTTTTTTTTTGGAAGATAAATCAAATCAAAACTGTCAATTGTTTTTCTTTAAAAACATTAATTTCGGCTATAATATATATACATACATATACATATACTATACATGAGCACAATGGGAAAAAATCTATTTCTTGTTAACAGTTGATATACTACAACCTGGAAAATGGGTAAATGTATAGCCGAAAGCACTCGAAAAGAAAGAACAATTGGACATTTTAATATAATTTATCCTTTGAAAGAAAAAAGAAAATTATAAGATCACATGAGGAATTGTATAAAAACTAAATCAAAAAACC